TGGGTGATCATGGGCGGCGGTAGTCATTTACCATCAGGTGAGCCGCATGCTCGTTTGCCCACTGTGTTGTAAAAAAATCCCTACCTTATCCCTTACTGGTGGGGATCCCTCACAGGCGGGGGGCTACTACGAGGTTTGTCCGGAAAGTACGTATAAAAGTTTTTTAAAAATTTTATTTTACAATTATTCAGGTAAATCAATTTTATCCCCTTCAAAGTACTCCCCCTGTGACATAATGCACTTGTGCCAACGCCGTTTCCACTGTGAGAAGGTTCCTTGAAAGTCCTCTGGTTGTAGGTTTCTCAGCTGCCCCGTCGTAGCTTTTTTTATCTCATTTATGTCCCCCAAATGCCGCCCCCGAAGTACCAATTTGGTTTTTGGGAACAAGAAGAAGTCACACGGGGCCAAATCCGGCGAATAGGGGGGTGTTCGGTCACCGTAATGGAATTTTTACTCAAAAACTCACGGACAACAAGAGAGGTGTGGGCAGGGGCATTGTCGTGGTGAAGAATCCAACGCCCCTCTCGCGCCAATTCTGGACGAACTCGTGCCACACGAGCTTTGAGGCGTCTGAGCACATCGACGTAGAATTTTCCATCAACTGTCTGGCCTGGAGGGACGAATTCTTGATGGACAATCCCCCGAACATCGAACTCTTTCTCGGCCCTCTCTGAATCTTTTTAGCCACTTGTGGACGGTTGGTTCCTTCACAGCATCATCCCCATAAACTGTTCTGAGATCGGCAAAAATTTCACGGCCATTCTTGCCGAGTTTCGAGAGAAACTTGATTACGACGCGCTGCTCTTCAACGGAAGCGGGCTCCATGCCGACGGGGTTTCGTTAAGAGGTAACTTCACAGATGGCGTGACAAGCCAGTTCGCACCGCACGGCGGTCAGACCAGAACTGAAGCATTGTTAGGGACATAAGGAAGGGGTCCTGCGCTTACCTGGCCTCCCCACTCCTCTTTCTCGCATTCCAGAACACTTTTATACGAACTTTCCGGACAGACCTCGTATTACATTTTCATCCATTAAAAAAAAAAAAAAAAAAAAACTATTAACCTAGGAGTACTGATAGAGATATCAGATAGATAATCATTTATCATTGAAGTAGATAAATATGATATTCATAAAAAATCGCCAGTCATTGGGGTCGATTCTGAAGCACCACGCCTCGAAACTTATCTCCTAGGTATCTTAATATTTTAATTTAATACTTTCCCAAAATTACTGTTTTATAGATTATAATAAAGTGAATTTATAACAATGTTGACATATATCTGTTAGAAATTTAATTAATATTAATCCTTAACATTAATTAAATTAAAATGTTAATATTAGAAATAGGCTTAGATAGGCGCTTCAGAATTGACCCCAACAGATTAGTAAATAAGGTAAAAAGTAAGTCAATAGATTCAAAGTTAGGAATTCATAAAATTTATTACTAACAAATATTACTTACAGTGTACTAATAAACAAAAATAACAATTATGGGACCAATAATCCACATTATTAACAATTCCTTCAGCCCAAAGTACGACGACACCATACGAGTATTTATAAAGTATGTACTTATGTAGTCAAATGAGAAACTTATTATTTCTATTTGATAAAAGTAAACATTTTATAATAATATAAGTTCTATAATATTTAGATTTAACATAATTAATAATGCTTCGTTAATTAAATTAATGTTAGAAAGTAAAGTAATTTGATTTTTTTTTTGTTATTCTAATAAATTTTTCCACCTATACATGGAAAGCTACATTATGAGCGAATAAAATATGTTGTATATTAATTAAAAAAAAACCGAGCAAAGCCGGGACCATTCACTAATTTATCAATAAAATGGTTTCAAATAAAAACAATGTCGGTCTGTGTGTGCATACAAGATTATTGGTGGTTGACTTGACAGGCGCATCGTCGCAATGACACTAAGCGGAAAAAGCGCTTGACAAATTAATTTTTCTAATGGATTATAATTAAGTACAGTTTTAAACTTTTTATTTTATAAAAAGGAAGAGGTTTGAAATTAGATTATCTAACACGTATATACTTAAATATTTTATAGTACATTACTACAGCAGCCAGCAACTTAAGCACTGATAGATGAACGTGCAATGTGGGCCGAGGCCTAGCCGAGGCACACATACGTGAATCCATCAATGCCTTGTTATGGCCAAGGCTTGTATAGTACTTTTCTCAAACAATGCGCGGAAATCAAAAACACAATTTTACTTTTTAAGTTCAATGACCAATAACGAACAATAATAATTTTTCACACGTCATATTCATGTTCTTTTGTTTTTTTTTTCAATAAACATCCTTATTTCATAAATATGCAGTTCTATATTCAGCTAATATTAAGTATGCCAATAATATGAATATAGTTTTTTTTATAAAGTTACTGATTAATTTTACAATAAATAAATAAATTTACAATAAATAAATTTGCACATACCATGTCATACTAATTATTAAATAATTGGAAATAATTACATTACATCATTTTTTTTTTATACAATGTGTTTACTTTTGAGAATGTGTTTACTTTTTATAGGGTTTATATTTAAGATATTTTTTACAGTTGCATTTTGAATTAAATTATAGCTAATTAAGTATATTCATTAGTATTGGGTGAGAAAAAACATAACACAAACATAACTAACCCACGGAGCGATCGGCTCTAAGCTACATAGCTCGCTACACCCACTGCGTCACCGATTTTTGAAATTACCAAGTTTCGATTAAAAGTTATTATGTATTAAGGATTATGGGTTTATTATTTACATAAATTAATGACCTACATAAATTTACTGAAAACGATGCTGCAAATTCAAATTATGCAACAGATGCTGTTGCATTATCGCGCAGTACCACATTTTTGTTCGGTACAGCGTAAGCTGCACAAACGCTCGAGGGGTTAAATGCTAAGTACATAAGCTATAATTAAATGCTAAAAGCATTAATTGCCACACAGGCCAAATTAATTATCAAAAACTTGAAACAATTTAAATATTATTTACAAAGATGTGATAAACTCTGGGCGGGACTGTATTATTATTATTCTCAAATTGTTTGCACACGATACAATTAGATAGTTACTCTTATTTTGCAACAAGTTGTATTACGAACAGACAAAGACGTGTGGATATTGGTACGTGAAAATATAAAAGAATCACCAATCTATATTTATACTAAGACTATAAAGAGTAACGATTTGTATTGTTGTATGTTTGTAACGGATAAACTCAAAAACTACTTGTCTAATTTCAAAAATTCTTTTACCATTAGAATGCTATAATATCCCTGAGTTCTTTTATAGGATTGTTTTCGAAATATTTATCTACCTGTTTGAAGTCGGGCCCAATTTCTAGTTAAATATATAAGAAGCCATCTTTAATTTCATTTTGTCGTCAATACATTAGACATTTGTCCTTATAAGGTTAAACTGATGGAATCTGACAGATTCCTTTATTAGATCGACTACATAGAGTTAAAAAAATTCTATTTGAATGATTTCAAGGATTCATATTTCTGATGATTTTGGTTCAGCAAGTGCATGGATCCTAGCACTTATTTATTATTATTATTTATTCACATAGTGACTGTTCGTTTCTGAAACTTTTTGTTATCAATCAAGATCTAATACAAAATTTAAAATATACGACGGTCGCGTCTGCCTATACTCTAGTCATACACGGCGGTTCCATGTGCATGACAGGGTTAACTTATTTTTGTATCATTGATGTAACGAACAAGTATTTACAACTTGTATTACACTCATTTTGTTACTCACTAGTGAATCCAGAGGACGAAATAAAGTCCATGCCTAGTAATTTAATTGAATTGTAATATTATTCCAAAATTTTGATGTGAAGTATATTAACAAAAGGGATTTCAAAATTCTTTTTCTCACTACTTATTTTTGGAATATTTTAATGTAATAACTACTGGTTTAATTTACTTGTAAATAGATCGAGAAAGTTCAACTAGTTTCGGGACCAATCGGGTCTCTTAATCGGTTCTCTGAGTCCTCTTAATCGGTTGTAAATTCTAGGCTTACGTACACAGGAATTTATTATATTTGTAATCACTTATGATAAATAAAGAACTTTTGAAAACAAAAACAAAACAATCGGTTCTCTGTATTTTTGGTTGTTAATTATTGGTTATTATTTACCAGATTTGTACAAAAGTCGATTATTTGGGAACCTCTGTCGCATTCGTGTTTCAACCGTGAAGCAGTTGTGTTCGCGTGGCTATGTTTCGGTTTGAAGGTTGGGATATGGCGTAAATTTACTGGGTACGGAGGAATAATACCTGAGTCTTCAGAAATGGCAACGCATGGGGGGTATTAAGGGCGAAACAATGTACTCTGTTATGTCTATGGTACTGCTCTTGTCTATAGGCGACGGTTACCACTTTCCATCAGGTGGGCCGTCAACTTGTTTGTCATTCTAAGTTGTATAAAAAAAAATGTTACAATTTGTCTGGATGTAGTATCTTGGTAAATATAATGTAAGATTTATCTAGTTTAGCCTTCAGTCTCCACAATGAAAAAATGTTAGGGAATTTTATAAAGGTAAAAAAAGTAAAAACAATAATATGTATCACGCAAAAACTAATGCACTAATATGGATGCGGTTTACTCAGTTGTGTTCCCGAAAGTCTAACTTAAAATCTGCTTTACGTTTCATTTTGATACGAAAAATGCTCTATTTCATTGGTTTTTCTATTTTTAAAACACACGCATACGAAGTTGTGTGCAGAAAGCTAGTTAACAATAAAAATAAATATATAATTCTGCAAAGTATTATTAATATTATTACTGCGCTTGAAGCGCTGAACGATTCAAATCAAACCGCGCCACCTGTCCGCAGAGTCCGCTATCCGCTAGAGTGCGTTGGATAAAACAGCACCACAGTCGCCATATCGGTAAAGTAGCATCCCGCGTCGCACCGCGCCCCTCCGCACCCCTCCCTCGCACCGCCTCCCGCTCCCCGTCGTCACCCCGGCCAGTACCATCGAGCGAGACACGCCGTGCGTACCTAATAACACGACTTGTGTACCATGCTCGATGCTACGCGACTGTCATGAGGCGATCGCCGCATTTTTTAACTTATAATCAGTGAAATAATGTAAAACATTTCGTCAACCGTCTCGCAAACGCGGCGCCGTATCGCCTACCTGCGTGCCCGCTTTGTTTTCCTGCCGCCGGCCGGCGCGACACGCGACAAAAGCTGAACAAAAAAAAAGAAGACTAAAATTTCGATGTCAGTGAGCGGGATCATCCTAGTGTCAGTGTAGTGTAGTTTTAAAATAGTTAAATGGATAAACGCCGTGCAATGTTCGTATGAGGAAGAAAGGCAACCGGAACATCGTAAGTGTGGAGAGCGTGCGCTCCTGTGTTATTTCTGTTGGGTATAAGCAGAAATGCGGGGTAGCCCGCCCCAGTACCCGGAGGTTTTAACATACGAGTGGGGCGGCCGCCGCTGATCGAAATACGGAGGTACGGAGGTCTACCCCTCGTATTCTCAATGCTTTTTTTTTTACACATCCCGAGCAGGTCTTTTTTCGTAACCCCTTTTTTATGCGGCGCATTTTTTGGAGGGAATGTTTTGAATCGATACCCTTGTAGGTTATGAGTGCCTAGTAATTCCCATTGCTATAATTTATTTTTTATAAATTTTATCTTGTTTTATCTTCTAGCTCACTTGTAAAACAAATTAGGAATTGAAAATGTAATTTAAAACATAATTACTGCAACAAATTCATTATAAATCGATAATTTTCAAAGCAAGTTAAAAACTAGAACGCCGTAGACTGTTGTTTGTGCCGTCCAAACTTGTTTTGGCGTATGTAGGTACCTCTTTACCTGCTGTTGCCACTTGCCACACGGTAAGGTAACGCAATGATCATTAAAAATAGTCATGTCCGTGTATTTGACAGCGGCATTGCAAATGTTTTGTTTTTTTTTTTTACGAACGGTAATGCAATGGTAACTCCACCTGCGGTACGGTGTACGCTGCTAAATAATACCAGGGACACATAATAAATGAGAATGAAAATACAGTTCAGTTAGCCTATTGTGATGAATACACCTGGAATTCCAAGGTCCAATGTTTTCCAAGGGGGACTATGTGGTGGTCGACCTGACGGGATATATTGCTAGCAATGGGATTCTCAGTCCATTACTAACAATCCCTTCCCCCCCCCCCATGTTATGGTTTGAAGTTAAACAGTTTTATTACCATAGGGTATACCTTCCTGCTTTACAAGTGGGTAGGGAAAGGGATTGTTAGTAATTGCTCTGGCAGCCCCATTGCTAGCAATATGCCCTATCAGGCCGACCTCCTCGCGGTTCTCCCGGAAACCGTCATGGTTATTTTTCAAACGACTTCAAAAACCAGTTCTCAATTCGTTCTTTTTCTTTATACAACTTAGAATGGCAAACAAGCTGACGGCCCACCTGATGGAAAGTGATAACCGTTGTCTATAGACATGAGCAGTATCATGAACATAACAGAGTATACTGTTTCGCCAATGATACCTCCCATGCGTTGCCATTCCTGAGGACTCGGGTGTTATTCCCCTATACCCAGTAAATTCACGCCATATCCCACCCTTCAAACCGAAACACAGCCATGCAATCACAACTGCTTCACGGTTGAAACACGAATGGGACAGAGGTGCCCAAGCAATCGACTTTTGTACAAAGTCTCCCTCTGGTAGGTAAAGATGAAAAGACAGGTCAATTAGCCCATCGTGACGAATTCAATGATAAATTTACCATGATAGTTTCCAGGGGGAACCGCGTAGAGGTCGATCTGATGGCATATTGATAGTAATGGGAACTAACCTCCACATTACTAACAATCCCTTCCTCCCCATGAAAGCAAGTTAGTTAGCCCGTCGTGACGAATGCGACAAGTATTAATCACAATGGTTTCTAGAGTTGAGGGGAAAGGGATTGTTAGTAATGGAGACTGAGAATCCCATTGCTAGCAATATACCCAACCAGGTCGACCTCCTCGCGGTTCCCCCTGGAAACTATCATGGTTAATTTCTGATGAATTCATCATGATGGGCTAACTGGCCTGTTTTCATTCTCATCTATCACCCTTCACTGGTGCTCCGGTTAGCCCCCCCGGGAGGGGATGTTAATACTGCGGACTACCAGTCCCATTGCTAGCAATATACCCAATCAGGTCGACCTCCGCGCGGTTCCCCCTGGAAACCATCATGGTTAATTCATACAGTATTCGTTGCGATGGGCCAGCTGACCTACTTTCATTCTCACCTACCATCCCTCATTGCCCGACTAGCTAATACCGATAGCGCGGGCGGGGTTACCGTAACATTAGAAAAAACTATCGAAAGAAACTTCTAACCTCCGGGGGGAAAGGGATTGTTAATAATGGAGACTGAGAATCCCATTGCTAGAAATATACCCAACCAGGTCGACCTCCTCGCGGTTCCCCCTGGAATCTATCATGGTTAATTCCTGATGAATTCATCATGATGGACTAACTGGCCTGTTTTCATTCTCATCTATCACCCTTCACTGGTGCTCCGCCGGCGTATCCCGTTAGCGCAGGCGGGGTTACCATACCATTTTCACCTATCAAAAAAAAAACTTCTAACCTCCTTGTTTTTGAAGTCGGTTAAAAAACTTGCATGTTACGAAGCAAACTCGTAACATGCAAGATGTAAACAGATGACTCCGTATTCTAAATTCAAATGGGTATTTTTAATCCAATGTGTTGATGAAATACTGACTTGCTTAATAATTTATACTTGTAAGGTATTTTTTTTAATAGATGATAATGGAATGGTAACCCCGCCTGCGCATTGGGGAAAAGGGTTGTTGGTAATGGGGACTGATGCCCCCATTGTTAATAAGCTCTGTCAGGTCGACCTACACGCGGTTTCCCCTAGAAACCATTTTTTTTTTATGAGTGAAAATGGTATGGTAACCCCGCCTGCGCCAACGGGATACGCTGGCGAGGCACCAGTGAGAGGTGATAGGTGAGAATGAAAAGGCAGGTCAATTAGCCCATCGTGATGAATACACCTGGAATTCAGCACGATGGTTTCCAGGGGGGTCATGTGTAGGTCGACCTGATAGGGTATATTGCTATCAATGGGACTGGTAGTCCGCATTACTAACAATCCCTCCCCCCTCAATTTCGCCGTTGAATTAATGTCTTCCTAACGTTACGCGTCGGGGGAAAGGGCTAGCAAGCAAAAATTGCTAGCAATATACCCTATTAGTGCGACCTCCACGTGGTTCCCCCTGGAAACCATCGAGAAATATTCTTGTTGAATCCGTCACGATGGGCTAACTGACCTGCTTCATCCTCACCTATCATCCCTCACTGGTGCCCCGCCAGTGTATACCGATAGCGCAGACGGGTTTTTTTATACAACTTAGAACAGCAAACAAGCTGACGGCCCACTTGATGGAAAGTGGTAACCGTCGCCTATAGACATGAGCGGTACCGTGGACGTAACAGAGTACTAATAGTAATGTTAGTAATAGAGACTGAGAATCCCATTGCTAGCAATATATCAAACCAGGTCGACCTCCTCGCGGTTCCCCCTGGAAGCTATCATGGTTAATTCCCGATGAATTCATCATGATGTGCTAACTGGCCTGTTTTCATTCTCATCTATCACCCTTCACTGGTGCTCCGCCAGCGTATCCCGTTAGCGTAGGCGGGGTTTCCATACCATTTTCACCCATCAGGGAGGTTAGTCCCCATCGCTATCAATATACCTTATCAGGTCGACCTCCACGCGGTTCCCCCTAGAAACCATCGTAACTAATTTATCTTTGAATTCGTCACGATGGGCTAACTGATCTGCCTTTTTTTCTCACCTATCATGTGTTCCTGATACTCCGCCAGTGTATACCCATAGCGCAGGCGGGGCACTACCATACCATTATCGTGCATTTAAAAAAAAGATGTCCAGTAGCAGTAAAGATCTATTAATTAATTTGAATGTTTCGAATCTTTACTTATATCATTTGTATTAATTTACCCCCTTATTCACAAAAATTAAAAAATACTACAAATAATTTTAACCCTTCTTTGCATAATGATGGACATTTCCATCATAACATTGAATGCCTAAAAAATTATATAAAAGACCAATTTCACTTTAAGTTGATCGTGTCTGGATACTTTTTTAATGTCCATTGCAGAAAAAAAAAACATAGGTGTCAAATTTATTTTTTAACCATTTTTCCTTTAATTTTGAACATGAATGATTTATTTCACCAATAAAAAAACATGCAAAGAAGGATTAAGTATTACATAATTTTGTCACTTTCTTCCAAATTTAAAATTTAGCACAAAAGAATGAGACAAAACAGTTCGATAGCTAAAATAGGTTTGTGACGTTTTTATGAATAAAGTGTTTTTTTTTTAATATCATGGTGATCCGGCTGCGCTAACGGTATACGCTAGTGAGGTACCAGGGAGGCATGATAGGTGAGGATGAAAAGGCAGGTCGGTTAACTCATCATGATAAGTGTAGCTGGAATTCAGCACGATGGTTTCCAGGACCACGGGAGGTCAAATCCGCTTTACTAACAATCCCTTTCCACCCCCATGAGAGGGAGAGGGATTGTGAATAATGCAGACTACCAGTCTCATTGCTAGCAGTATAACCTGTCAAATTGATCTTCACGTGGTCCCCCCCTGGGAGATCATCATACTGAATTCCAGGCATATTCACCACGGTGGGTTAACTAACCTATCCCTCACTGATGCCCCGCTAGCGTATACCGTTAGCGCAGACGGGGTTACCATTCCATTATCGTGCATTAAAAAAAAAAACTACATTAATGGTTGTGAAAACACCTCTGACTACTCCCTCTGATATTACAGTCGTGAGCATATTCTTAAATGACTACACTCGAAAATATTCCTATAAGGGTCGTTCTTAGAATAATACCATATTTTCTTTGAATATTACGCACCTTCTTGATAAAATTCCTTAGTACGTACCTGGCGTGGTGATAACTACCTTCTGTCCGTGTGTCCACCCGTAATAGAAAGGGACAGACTACATCCGTCTCGCTTGCTCTTGCATCGTTCCGCCCGTTTCGCTTGTTTTTTTCTTTTGTAGTTTTTATCTCCTTTGTGTTTATAATGGTTTATGCTTACATACGATAGTGTACCAGGCAAACAGGAATCTAATAGAGGTCAGATAAACAATGAAATGTCTTTGTTACAGGACAAGAATTAATTGCATTTTTGATTGACATATGACCGCAGTGGCTCATCTTTTGGACACCTATAGACATGAGCACCACCCTGGATATAACAACACCATATCTGTGACTCCTGTAGTACCCATTATGCGTTGCCATTCCTGAGGACTACAGTGTTATGCCTCCATATCTTTGTACTATCACTGCCACCCATCAAGATTACAAGACAGAAACACCAAAGTGCAATATGCAAGCACTGTTCTTTTTTTTTATGTGTGTGAAAATGG